CACGATTGATTTTTTTTTTGGGAAAACAATCTATTTGAGTCCAAGATGACAAAGCGCGAGCCTCCTAAAGAAGAATTGTTATAACTAACCAGAGATACTATTTTTTGTTTGTATTGATATACGGTATATGTATTTTTACTTTTTGATATAATGTGTCTTTTAGTTTATAAATATTTTAATTGAAATCAGAACGTGAGCAGATCATTGCTGGGTGATTATAAGATCCTTGTCAAGATTAGGGTTCCTAACGGTAATTATAACTCCATATTCGAATATTCGTAAATCCCAAAAATTACAAATTTCGAATATTATTTCGAGTGCTTGTAATTATTTCGGGTGCTTGTAGTTATTTTGAATGCTCATTATTTCAGATATTTGTATAAATTTTTAACAAACTGTTATTAATTTTTTCTTGTTCTTTAATTGATAAATTTTCTTTTTTGGACATCATCAATTTGATTGTTTATTTCAAGCTATATCAAAAAATTATTAATAAATTATATCATCATACAAATCAAAAAATTATCATCATTTTTTATCGAGTGTAAGAAGAATATTATGACATTTTAAAAATGATTTATACAATTGAAGTATTAGGAAAAATTTTCTGCAAATTCCTTATCTTTATTATCTTTGAAAAAATGTTTGTTATATAGTATGATAAGTTATAAATAAGTTAATACTATTTGTTATCAATCGATAATCATTCATAACAAATGATTATATTCAAAATAATTACGAGTATCCAAAATAATTACGAAATAAATTATATATATTCAAATATCCTTGAATAAATTGATTTTCGAATATTCGTTAAAAATTTGATTTTCGGTTAGGAACACTAGAATGTGGAAATGAAGAAATTGATATTTAATTTTTTTTAATGTAGTTGTGATGAGGCTTGAAGAAATTGTCTTGTTCTGAGAGGTGAAAATATCTGTAAAACATGGTTGTAATAAGAATTAGCTTGGAAGTATTTCTTTTGGACAATGTTTTCTTTTGTATTATCGGTCGAGCGCAAAAGGAACTTTTTTTTCCGACATCCTCCCAAAAAAGTTTGATGTAATAAAAAAAAAAGTTAATATTAATATTTATATTTATTAATATAGGACCCCGGCGTAGGTTTGTTTACGTAAGATTAATTTCTGATGTTCCATCTGGTAAAAGGGAAGATCATTTACATAAATTTTTAGGTGTTGGGCTTAGCAGAGCCGATTGTAATCCATAACCCCAAGAGCTAGTCTTTTAAAGAGTCATTCCATTGAGTTGAGCACAGTAATTCACACCATTAGTTTTTTGAGGGCAACCAACATCAGTTTGTGAATTAATCCCAGAATGGCTGATACTTTTTAAAAGTTGGTCGTGATGATGACAGAGAAAGCAGAGAGAGAAAAACTGCATATAATTATTTTGTAATTAATAAAGAAACGTAATTTTAATTTATTTATTTTATGACCTTTTATATTTAATCAGCTTTTGTTAATACTGTTGTTGTTGTTGTTGTTGTTGTTGTTGTTGTTGTTGCTAGTATTGACAATGCCTTTACAGATTTCTAGCAATGAACAGACATGAATCATAAGAATGTCTATTGCTATAATCATGGTGGGTGTCTACAACATTTTCATGCTAATCACACTAATAAATTATCAATATTATAATTTTTGGGAGAGCGAATTTAATTAATGACAATAAAACAATGGATGGTAGGTTGTGAGTATCAAGTGAATAGTTTTGGGTATGATTCGATTATTTCTCGAGTCGAACCTTGCTCAAAAATAGTTATCTTTAAAATACACGGAATTCGAGTTGTTTATGTACGCACTGTTTCATTAGAGGATTACCTAAGATCGGCTTGGTAAACTCTATTGATCCAATAATAAAAGAATTTTAGAATTATTTTCTTTTCTTTTAAAACTTCAAAATTAAAGCATGCATCTAAACCTACCTGTCTTATGTATTATGTAAAATTTGTTCTAGGCTATTTGTGTTTCAAAGCTAAAGACAATTCGAACGCGTTTGATCTTTTTCATTTTATGAAATGTAACAATAAAAATAATAAAATAATAAATAAATACCATTAATTTCAATTTAGTTAATAATGAATCTAATGAGTGAACTCCATGAATACATGATATACTATGGTAAGATTAATATCATGCCATCTGAAACATTCAGTTTAATACATTAACATAAACGTGAGTACATTTCTAAGCCAAAAAGAATTTCACATCTTAATTATGCATACAGTAGCTGTGTTACTGTCTCAGATGACTCCCATTCATATATAGTATATACTAATAGGTGAAACAAAAAAAAATTATTTTTTTGGGACATTTCGATTAGGTAGAAATTTATTTACATATTAATATTCCAAGATGATTCTAATTCACAGCAAAAATTTTGAACAAGCTATGGCAGTAGAATTACGGATATTGCCAACAACCATACAAATTAAATGATCTAATGGTGATTTTTGGTAATATTGTGATAATTGCATATAAAAATAAGAAAAGATAGAAATCAATTTTGTAGGAAGGAGAGTAATTATTCAGCAGTAATAATAAATATCTGTCATACTAACCCATTAAACCAGAAAAAACGTCAGTAGGTTATTGGAATCCTAACTTGAGGATTTACTTTGATAAGCACGTAGCATGATATAAATTCGCACAAGACCAGCTTTATTCCAAACCCTAAAATCATAATTAATATTTATTAGGGAAAAACCATCTAAAAGTTTTTTGATGTTCATCACCAACTAATTAATTAGTCTAGATTTTGGTACTAGGCGAGTTTCAAGTATTGCTTTCTCTAATGCGACCATCAATCCACACGTTGTTTCTTTTACTTGGGAAGTTTTGGAGCTTGTGGAACAAGATAAGCATCAGTCATCAAATTGATATTAACTTTGATTATGATTGATTGTTATTGATGATGTATCATCATCGTTATCTTCGTCGTAGTCGTCACCACCAACGGACACACTTTTCGGCTCATCGATCATAGTCGATTTTTATTTTCATTGCAGTTCTTCTTGTTGTTGTTGTCTTTACTTTAATTATTCAACAATAACAAAAACGTCATCAATGTTGTTATCGTTGATAACATTATCAGGATTATCATTTATTGTAAAACAATCATCTGCTACTACCACCAATCATAGAAATTGATTTTTGATGTAAATACAATTTCTGATTGGTTGGAATTATTTATTGATAATCGAAATCAGACAAAATATTTTTTTTATTTTTACAATGTTTACAACAATAAAAAACAAATCTAAAATTTTTCAATTAAATAATTCATTAAAATGTATTAATAGCACCATTACCAAAAGTAGTAATAAAATAAGAAGCATCGGGACTAATAATAATAATAATAGCAATAACAATAACGGTTCAGTTTTATCATCTTTATCAATCAATTTTTGGTCACCATTACAAACTAGAAAAAAATATACAACATTGACTAGTAAAACTAACTCCAACTCCAACTCCAATTCCAAACTCCAAATCGAAGCCAACCCAAATGAAATTAAAGAAGCAACAGCATCAAAAGAAGAGGATTTGAGCGTTTGGCAAGTTTATGGAACACCATTAATAAATTGTTTACTTGTTGGATCAATTACATACTTTAGCTTACATATTTTATGGTATAAATTGGAATACGATGAGTATAGAGAAGAAACAGAAAAAAAGGTTTTATTGTTGGAACGAGAGATTGAACAAAGAAAACAAATTACAATCATTTAACATTATGTAAAAAAATTTAACTTCAAAACTTTGTATTTGGTAATTCTATTGTTGTTGTTGTTGTTATTATTATTATTATTATTATTATTATTATTATTATTATTATTATTACTAATAACATCGCATAAATTCTCAAGTTTGATTATTGCAAACCAATTACGATTTATTTTTATGTAAAACTAATTTTTACTTGCATTATGAATAAATAAAAATGCACCGCCCGAATAACAAGTATTAATTTTTAATAATTAAATCCGAGCTTTATTGGCTGGGTGTCGGATTCTAATAGAATCATTGCACCAATCAGTCACTTTTGTAGCTTAATAATGAATGGATTCAAAATATTAATTAGTATTGGTGTGTTAAAAGATGGTGCTAACCCCAAAAAATTTCGATGCAACTATCTGCAACTGCAAACAATAAAGAAAAATTCATTACTCAAAAAGAATGTTGTGCATATTTAATATTATTACTTAATATTACTTAATTAGGTAATTATTTATTATTATTATTTAAAAGTAGATTAGTTTTAGGGCGCCAATTTTAGTTAAAGCAAAAAAAAATTGTTTGATTATGGGTCATTATTTCAACACTTGTTGATAGCCCCTTCGCTTGAATATTTGGGATCAAAACGTTACGCCAGGTTTCGCTTTAAATAATTTTGAAGAGATGGAACTAACCATAACTCTCTACGTTTGTGCAATTTTTCTCCAGATGGAACGCATGGTAGACGGTTGTATAGTAATAACATCACCATTATTATTTATTATTATTACCTTTAAGGCAATGCCCTCTATCTGAAAACCTTATTTTCATTTTTTATACTTGGGACAATCCGAACGAATAACAACGAGTCAAATGTCGTGAACATAGCCGGCGCTTGATATTGAATAATGGTGAGGAATAGCTTCTCCGTATAGTACAAATTCATTATAAAATGGTTTCCTTATATAGCTCATTACAACTATATCGAGCGTCAATTGTATATATATACCTTAAACAAGTTTATTTTATGAAATTGTTTGATCAACTTGATAAACATCTCAACATCTATAAATCTATTTTATACATTAACACACGTGACAATGTGTTCTTGCCACATGTCTCTACTAAAAAAATAAATAATGAATGATTTTCAATTTATTGCTTATGATACAGACTCTTATTAAATTGTTTATTTGTTGGAATATAATAGCAACTTTAAATTAAAGATAATAATTCTTTTGATAGTAAAAAAAAAATATAATAATGGGTCATTGCATTTCATATTGTAAAAGAAAACCAAATAATAATAAAGAAACTCTTTTAAAAAAAAAGGTTAATAATAATAATAGGAAAAAATCAAAAATCGATAAAAGATTAATGTTAAACAATCCTTTTTATAGTGATCTCTCAATAAAATGTAAGGATGGAATAATTTTATATGCGGATAAATCCATTCTATCTTCCCGCTCCAGCGTATTTAAACGCTTGATCATATTAAGTGAAGAGGAGAAGGGGGAAGAGAGGGAAAAAGAGAAATTGGGCAAAGTGTTTGACAAGAGTCACATTAGATTCTTAAAATTTCCTCAATTCAGTTTTAAAACAATATTATTTATATTAGAATATTTGTATTTGGGTCATATTAAATTAGATAGTTTGGATAAATATAAATTATTAAATATTAATGATGATAATAATAATAATCGTATTAGTAATTGTAGTGATAATAGTAGTAGTAGTAATAGTTATTTAATTATTATAGAAATTTATTTTGCGTCAAAATTTTTTTTATTAAATGAAATTGAAGAAATCATATTAAAACATTTGGAGAGATTATTAAAGATTAGAAAAGATAATAATTTACCAGTGAGAATATTATCAAAATCAATTAAAGAATTTCAACATTCCAACACAACAACCTCCAATCATTCAGAATTGTTGATCAGAGAAAGGTATTTTAACTTGTTGTATAAAGCAATAATTAGAATACCACTAAATTTTATAGATTATGATATGTTTAATTACGAATCACTTGTATTCATATTGACAAATCATGACAAGGAAAAAACAGCAATCGTAATAGATGAAGAATTCAATACATCTGAATATGATGTTTTTAGATATGTGGTATTTTGGGCCTTGAGCCAATTAAAAACAAACGGAAATTTTTCCATGAAATATTTTGAAGTGCTTTTACCAATTTTAAATTATGCAGAAAACCTGGATTTACAAGATTTGGTTGAATTGAAAAAATTACAACAAGATTTCAAAAATAATATTTCAGAAAACATCAACAAAAAAATTCTTATACTGATAAACCCTTTATTATTAAAAATAGATTTCAAATTAATTCATCCTTCAATTCTAATAAATATTATTGAACCATTAGAAATTATTCCAAAACATCGTTTAATCGATGCCTATAAATATCAAGTTGAACTACCATCAGGTTTCATTCCAAAAAGAAACAGAGGAGTAATATTTGCAAAACCTAAAGATTTGCTCTTGGAATGGGATCAAAAGGTTCACGGTAAAAATATCATATTGTCAGAAAATAATAAAGTGGTTACAAGCATTGGTGATAAATTGGAATTTGCTAGATCAAAATTAACAAGTTTTCATGGGAGTGGTTATGATGTTTATGAATGGGATATTTTGATAGAAGAAGATTGTAAAAACAATATATGGATAGGTGTCCACTCTGATCAATACAACAATCATAATAATTCAAACAAGAATTGTGAAAAATGTCTGAAAAATACAAAACATGCTTGGGTTTTTGGTTCAAATGGTTTATTATATCATAATGGAAAATCAAGGAAATATGGCACAAAATATGGTAAAGATGACAGGATTACCGTCCATTTAAATATGTTTAGAAAATCTTTATCTTTTTCGATTAATGGTCGGCGGTTTGAAGAAGCTTGGTCAAATTTATCACCTATACTTCAACCTGTAGTGTCTATCAAAAAGCCTGCTAAAATAAGAATAGATTACAAAAAAAATTTCAATGAAAATGATTATGATGACAATACTACCGAGTATGACATTGATGATTTTATTATTGTTAGCAGCTATGAGTAGAATCATGTTATATTAATTGGTTGGTTGGTTGGTTGGTTGGTTGGTTGAATAGATTTATTATGGATAAATTTCTTTATTTTTTTAACATGCATGTTGGTGATGCCTCAGGCTGGAGGTCAGGCAGTACCGCCACATCCATTTACTGTAACCAACTTGCACAGTATACACTCACTGCATTGGTAGTAAAACTGAATAACAAAAACACAAGTTTTCCACTTTTACTGATTTTATTTTTATAGATATTCCAAAAAAAAATGTAATTAATACTCAATTAAATTATTATTATAAATAAAATTTTAATTCTATATATCTGGATGATAATAACTTTACAATAATCTTTTAACTTCATGTACATGTATCTATCTCCTCTTATTATTATACTGAATATTATTGTTGACCCGATGATTACACCCTTGATTCTTGTATTTGGACCAAGGGTCCTCAAAAAAAAAAAAAAAAAAAAAAAAAGTATTATGCTTTTTCTCTGTAAAGATAGATGGTGGCGGCTATGTTATATCATCTTGAGCGTGTATCTAAATATTGGTGCTTTGATACCTCATAATAGTTGCCGATTTTAATGATAATAATACTTCCATTGGGGAAAGGGTCAAACTGTCACTTCAATTATATTGTGTAAAATGTCTATTTTCAAATGATGGAAGATCTCTCTATAACTAGCAAATATCGACTCTAGCATATTGTCAATGAATGTTGTGCAAGGTCCTACACGTGATCACTTCTCTAATAATTTTTTCTAAAAATTCATTTCTTGTCTTGATGGTTTCCTTGCTTATCTGCGCTAACCTTATCCCAATTCGATTTTCATGTCCTTCCTTCAGCAATTAAGCTACAGAATTTTGTGTAATTTAAAAATTTTTTTCCGTGTCCGACAACTTGAAAAAATAAAATGTTAGCTTCCTGTACATTAACCTCAACTTCTCTATTAACTTTTCATTATCTAGCATTAATTATTCACTATCATTTTTTTTTTTTCATTTTCTGAAAAAAGAACATTGTTTTTTCCGTGTTTGTTTTATTAATCATTATCTCGGTTTTGGGGGTCATTCATCACCCAATTTTGGACTTTAATGAATCATAGTTTGTGTATATACCAAATGAATAATTCGAATTAAGATTGACATGGATTACTAGAAACCCTACACTAAACAAAATCACTAACTACCGCACTATTGTACTAACGATTATTTACTATTGCTAAATGGCAAGTTTAAGCGTTGATTTTCTTGTTGGCATTTATTTTTATTTTTGGCCAGTCATTTTGGATTGTTCGGAGTCCTAGCTTTAAGTGTCGCTTCAAGAGAACATATGACATGTTTTAAAGTTATTTAGTTGATACTTTTTCAAAAGCTTTAATTTATTTATTCCAAGAAATGTTTTGCTTGAATAATATTATTAAATGACTGAAGGCTTATGTTAGGATGTACTGGGTTATATTCATGAGTTGATTTAAGGGATCGAGGGATTAAATAACTAGTTGAGGTGAGAGGGATGATTAAATGACTGCAAAATAACCTCAGCATGAAGAAGTGTCGGTTCCTAAACTTTCTCGGAATTTGCTGACTTTTTTTTTTATTTTTTATTATCATCTTTGTGTGTCTACTGCAACTATTTGTCATTGTGTAATTTGTGTGAAATGAGCACATACAGTAGTATTCAAGATAATGTCCTGTTCATCGAATGATTCGTAATTAATTTTTGAGTATTCAGATCAAAACAAATCAACGAATTGTTTGAATCAATTGTTATTCAAATTAAAGTTGACATGTATTAGTATCAGTATTAGTATTACACATCATTTGAATTACTACCACTTGGTCAATGATTTTTTTTCACCATCAAAAAAAGTTATTTTAAAAGTTCAGCAGATTATAATTAATATTAATAGTAATTTGGTTGTATTTATAAAATATCAACAATAGTAATTGATTATCAGCATATAGAGAAGAAAAAAAATGACAGGGCAGCTCAAGTAATCAAAACAAATATGAAATTGTTGAAATTAACTTTAGATGATAAAACGAAATGTGGGATTATAACATATTTAGATATTAAGATATTACCAAAAGTATTACATTGACATATAATTATGAATGATGACAATGACCTTATAACCTTTTGGATGAATCAATTCTTGATAAAATCCATGCCAGTTAAAATTTCTGCTCATGCTTTGAATTCAGCACTTGAAACAAAATATGGCAATGTTATTTTATTATATGATGGTCCAACGTTAAGACAAGGAGGGTTTTTAAACCATAAAACAATAATTTATCAATTTACATTCATTCAGAGTTTAATAAAATCATA